GAATGCCATTTGTGGCCAGTTGCTGCTCTGGAATTACAGCAATGTGCGTGGCTATGAGGCTTCAAGCAAGCCCTTTGCTGGACCCTGCATTCACATCAGCTGTGATCATGCATTACCTCCCTGCTTACCTTCACACTTTGACTGCTCTGTCTTCCTGGTGCATAGGAGGTGAGAGGAGCTGGTCTAGCTCTAGAGCTGGATGTTTCCTTGCTCAGCTCTCCAGGCTGGAACTAAAAGCTCATGTGATCAAATGTGATAACCAGGCATTTGGTTTGGTGTATATGGAGGCATGCCTGGATGCTCAGCCAGCCTTTGAACCATGTCATGGAACTTATGCAGAGCCTTCATTGTGTAAGCTATGTTGATTTCAACTGCCTCAAAGGAAGGAAAAATATCAGGCAATCGGATATCTCAGGATGTGCCTGTTACACTGCACAACTGTGCATCTAACCTTGGGAATACTCAACTTCATTAGGCGACTGGACCCCAGTAACAGAGTTGTTCAGAAAGCTTTGTCTTAATCCTGCAGCTCGAGGGCGCAGGCTCTGAGCAGCTTCTGCAATGAGTGCAGAGTATAGGCTGCTTCAAAAATGTAGGCATCCACTAAGCTTAGCGCCACGAGAATCCCAACCAGGTTTTGCCAAACAGCTCTGTGGTGCCCACAAATTAGCTGTATCTGAATCTCTCTACTATCTGGCTTAAAATTGGCCTTGTCATGGCTCTGCTAATCTCCCCAAACCACATGGGCACTTTAACTCCTGCCAGCTCCTGTATGTCTTCTTCCACACACATCCCACATGGCATGGGACCTTGAGCTTCTTGTGCTGCTACTGCTTTAAGTCAGGAAAGGAATTAGGAGTTGCTGGAAGGGCTCAGAACAGGTGGCTTGTGGCCACCGCTTTTCAGGTATAAGAAGGTTAAAGTCTTGCTGACTGTAAAGCTTTCTCATGGGAAATCTAAGGTGGGTGAGTCCTCCCTGTGCTCATAGATCTGTGTCACTCTAGCAGCACTGCTTATTTCTTTCAGGGGATCTTTTGTGGGTGAAGATGGCCAGAGAAATGCAGGCTGAGCAACGACAGTGGTAGCAGGAGTGTCTGTGTGGGTAGGTTTGGTAAGGGAAGCTTATAGAAAGGATCAAAACACACACAACTTAGAGGCTCATGGATAAAGGGGTTCTGGAAGATCTTGTGTCACAAGTCACTTCAGGTATGTGCCCAAGAAATCTGCTTTTTGCTCTTGTAATAAGTCAGCAGGTTAAATAGAGCAGTAGGAATCCTTAGGCAGTCCTATCAAGAAACTCAATGAATAACAGAACAAACAAAATGGCTATTGCTCTTGTTATAAGTAATTTTCTTTTTGTAACTGGCATTTGTTTAAAAGACAACTCAGACTGGGGAAGAATTACTTTTATTTTTCATGCTGCATTATCTGAGTTCACTAGCTACAAATGAAGAGACAAGGGGTAGGCAAGCGTATTCCAGGCAGCCTGCCAGAGAGCAGTGAAGCGCTAAAACTGACAGACAATAAGGCGATTGTGGTTGCACCTTTTGTCATTCCAAGTGCCATCAGCATACATCTCCACACATTCCTCTTCCCCTTTACCAGAAGGTTCATTTAAATGCCAGTTAGTATAGCGCAGTTGTGTACCATCCAGGAACTGGAATTTGCTTGGAATTAGAGATTCTTTTATCCCCAGATAGGCATAGGTATTAAAATTTTTCACGAAGTACAGAATGGCATCATTCTCTCCCTGGTTCCTTGGAGTGGCAATAGACCCTCCAGCCTCTTCGCACTTTTTCAGTGTGGTACGGAAATCTGCTTTTTTCCCATTCGTAGCAAATATTTTTCCTCCAGATGATGTTATCGTCTTTTCCAAGTAGAAGACTGCAAGATGAGGTGAAAGCTGTTAATCTTTTATGCATTGGTTTGTGGTCACTTTTCTTCCAATTGTAATTCTTGCTATTTTCCTCCATAATTTTAGGTTAAACCCAGGAAAAGGTAGAGGAGAAGAAAACTTGAAATCAGAGATAGAAAAGAGAAAAAGACAACCCTCAAAAGCCAGAGAAATCTGAAAAGATCAGGGGAGGGAAAAAGGGAGGAAACACATAAATATGCAGACAATGAAATGGGAAAAACACAAAAGAGGTTGGAGAAGGAAGAAAGGAAATGAGGAATTCTACATTTGGAAAACATTTATTTCCTTTGAGTCTCTGTACTCTGTATAAGCTCTCTGGGATGGCTTGCAGTATACAATGGTGTGTGTCAGTCCTTGAGTGAGTAGGATCTTGATCTGGTTGTGATTGTTTTGGTATGTTTTTAGTATTCAGTTTATTTATCTGTCAGGAGCATGAAGTGCCCACGGAACACTTCTGCATAAGCGGGGATTTTAATCTGATAAACTTCTGTCTTGCTTGCACTCATACTTCAGAGCATCTCCCACTAATTAGGAAAAACTATTCCCCCTCTTCCCCCATTTGAGTTATCACTCTCCTATCTACCTGTGAACAAAATATGAATGGAATGCAATAAAACTGCAGAAAATTCTGCCTTTTGCCTAAGAAGCCATTTTGTTGCTCATCTTGTTTATGCCCACTAATCCAGCTACAGCAGAAAATAAAAGGTAGATAAATTACCTCCTTCAAGTCTGGAAATCCGATGGTCTAATTGACGGATAACATCTTCCATTTCATTATCAACCAGCGGTAGGAAACCTATTAACAAAACCAGCTATTACACACTTTGTGTTACAGTTTGAATCTTGCCTTTCAAGGTAAAGCAGAGGTAAGAATCTGAAAAAATAGGAATTTTTAAAATGTTTGTTTGACCTGTTTTAGTTTACTGCCGTGTTTTAAATAAGGGCTCTTTTCCATACCTTGATCTTTGTGGGGATAGGAAATACGTTCCTGGAAACTACCTACAGAGCAGTGATGTTTATGGAAAACTTGAATTGGCAAACTGTGTTTGTCTTCACTCGAAGTGATTGAGCCAGTCCAGGCAAAACACTGGCACTTGTGCAGGAGGTTTAGTTGATTTTTAACTGTGTCTGGGGATTGTCGACAGAGTCCTTCAGGCTGTTCAAGCACTTGCTTGCAGCTCCATCCTAACACCAAGTTTCTTGTGCCCTGTGTTATGGAAAATGATATCCTTTTCTCTGAACTGAACCGTTGTGTCATTAAGCAGGAGAGATTTAAGCATCTTTGTACAAGGAATTAATAAAGACCTGCTTGTTTTCTATCTTCTGTCAAGTAGAACCCACATCAGATTATACAGCGTAGCACTGAGTTTACAAAGCGTAACACTGGAACACAACAGTACATCTAGATAAAAAGGGAGACAGTAACTGCATGTACCTGGTATAAAGCCTTCATCTATCCCATCTTCAGGCAAGTGCACAAATCTGCTGGTTTATCCTGAGCACAGCATGGGAGCAGGAAAAAAGCTACTCCTAAGATTTTGTGGAGCAACTGTGGACACAGCATTATTTAAAGCCAAATGTAAACCAGACTGTTTTACTCTCCAGTGTAGAGTCCTGCATTAAAAATAAAGCCACGTTTCAGAATTTTGCTGTCTGGGTTTGAAGTTTTATGTACTTTAAGCTTTACCCTCAGTGACATGGATATCATTGATGTAGTTGCAAAATTAGGTTATTTCACATAATTAAAATATTTTTCCAAAAGTCTCAGTCTGCTAGTCTACAAGAGTCTACAGAGCAAAAAACCAAAACCTCCCCTTCAAAGCTCTTTTTTGTACAGCAGATACCATTACATGCCAATGTTGCCATGCAAAAAGCTATAGTTTCAGTCCTAATTTTACAGGAGAGCAATAGGCCTATGTCTGCTTTAGTAAGAGAATGCTATGTTAAGATAAACTGGGCTACGCTGTCTTTCTCAATTGGTTTTAGAGGGAAACGATTGCTAATGTTTGTTCTTCCATTATGGTATCTATCTTTTAAAGTATCTTCACCTCAGGTGTCTATAAAAGCAGGTGAAAGTTTTAATAAAAATGTTGCGACACAAAGGAAAAAAATCTAAAATGGAAAGATTTGTGATACAGTTTAATAGGATTCAACAAAATTTAAAGGGAAACCTATTTAAAGATGTTCAACTTACCTAGCAGCTCCAATATGAAATACAAAAGACTCATTAACTGGTCTAATTTATAGGGCATGTAACTGGAGATTCATCTTGTTACCTACAAGAAATACAAAGAGCATGTAATATGATATTAATTTGCATATGAATAGACTGCTAATGAACTTGAAGGATAAAGGGGTGGTTTTCTTCAAGAGTTAAACACACTTAAAATGTGAGGAAAATACTTGAGGGTACTTGATTTGTAGAAAAACTTTCACACATTTAAAACAAACCCACACCACCCCTGGAGCAGAACAAAGCAGTTTCTCAATACATATTTGAAATACCTAATGTTGCCACAGAACAGCTGTGTAAATGTTAAATCGCAAATGTCACTGAAGATAAGCCAAAACAAGTTCACCTGAAATATAATATGCACCAGGAACACCACCATCATTTTTGTCACAAACTGAGGACTTATCAGTGATAATTACCAAAGTCTTGTAACTAAACAGATTCTCATAATTGTAACAGCAAAGCCAAAAGACAGTGGTACTTCTGCAGCATATGTAGAGGTGACAGCCACAGAAGCACATACTTAAATAACTTTGAGAGTACTCCAGGGGAAGTTTATATATCATAAATAATAACATTTTTATCCAACAGAACAATGACCTCAGTGAAGGAAAAAGCTGCTCTAAACCAGCCTTGTAAGTACAGAGCCCTCAAGATGCAGAGCACTGCTGAAATGGAGATGGGTTGCCATGCGTTTTTAAGTTATTCCCAACTGAGAGTTATTTCTATCTAGTGGAGACTTTTAGGGAAGGAGTTTCAGGCTGTGCCCTGGTTCAAACAAGATGCGGTCACATCATCCTTGTGGTGTCAGGCCCGCATCCAGATGTTGCAGCAAGGCTAGCTAACTGCTGAGTCAGCTCAGGAATAGGTGCTTTGATGGGGAATATCCATATTAGACTAAGATGCTACAGGATCTAAGCAAGCCTAGATCACCTCCACAGGCACTCTGCAGCTGTACCCTGCTCCTTCATACTTATCTCAACAACTGCTGTCGAGTCCTTTATCGTTGGTGTTGTGCCCACAGAAGCCCGATTAATTCCTGCAGCATTGTTTATTGAGTGTCCTGGAAAAGGCACCAGTCCTGTGAAAAATAAATAAGCAATACCTGGCTGCATGTATCTTGACAGAAGAGGGCTGTTTTAAATTTGCATGAGTAACCTCTGTTTAAAGTTTCTTGTTAAATTTCGGGTTTCTTAGCTTTTGAGTGTTTGACTTACCCTCAGCCAAAAGAATGTTAAAAACATTAAGTTTTATGGAAAAAGAAATGAGAACATGAGACAAGCCATTACCTGGGGCTCAGGTAAACCTTAGAAAAGGTCATTGGCAGAACCTGGGCCTTTGCATTCGTGGTGAGAACAACTTTAGTACTTCAGCTGCATCTGGAAGAAACCGCAGGTTAGGCAAGTGTGAGAAGAGAATGAGGCTTGGCCTCCATTAGTGGGTTTCACATGCTGACTGATGGCCTGGGAAACCGGGAGGGAGACAGAAGTGTTCTTGTGTGATTGATAGACTCCTGAGAAGAACTGATGTAGATGTGATAAATTCTAAACTTTTCTTCTCTTTTCATCAGCATGTTGATGAGATGGAGCAAGCTAAAATAGTTATTTAAAAAGACTTACTTACATTTATTTCTACTATACTTGTTTATGATTGCCTAATAGAATATTCTATATAACTAGAAAACCTTGTAAACTATTTTCTGATCTTGCTCAGTGAGATGCAAGGATACAGATGCGATAAAGAACAAAGAAATTTTGAGTATTCAGGCAACTTTTCTTCTGTGTTTCCACATCTGTCATGAAGAGGTTTTATAATTTCAATGGTAGTGAAGCAAATGAAGGATATGCTGAGAGTAGGTTGTGTTGCACAATGTAGGTCGGTGAGTGCAAAACACGCTGAGGGTAAAGGTTGGTCAACACTGCTTCCTTAGCTGCCTCAAGAAGTACAGACAATAGAGTTGAATTTCAGTTTACAAAAGTGGATGTGTGTGCCTTCTACGGGCCTGTTTGTTAACCTTTGCTTTGTATACTTAACCTCCTGAAAGGGTTTTTTTTTTTCCCTTCATAGTGCTAGTCACACCTCAGATAACCTTGAAAATTCTTTTCTTATTCTCTGTTTGTATTTAAACAGCCCCAACCCCACTTATATTTTCTGTTTATATTGATTTTGTGCTGTTCTGCTGTTCTTCCCCTCCCACTTTGCTACCACCTTGTCCTGTGCTTTCTGCATCTCCTTTTCTCTTCCGAATCATCGTTGCACTGTCCCCAGCAGCCCCCTTACGCCTGGGAATATCAGAAAGTGCACAGAGCACACAGGACCTAGCGTCCCCCCTTCTCGGAGGAGGGCTGAGGTTATTTTTGCTCAGGTTTAAAAACAGGAAGCGAAGAATTCAGCAAAATATGGATGCATGCGATAGCAAACTTCAACACGGCTTTTTTTTTTTTTTTTTAATTATGAGCAGCATTTTAGAGTAGAAAGCCTTAATTTTACCTGTAGACAGCATGATCAGTGCCTGTAAATGCTATCGCCATTTTTTTCTGCTGACTTATATGTGTGAAGGGTCCAAGCGGAGGACACTAGATGTCTCTGATATGTCACTCGGTATGGCCCAGCTGAAAAACACAGAAAGAAATAGAGTTTTGTGTATATAACAAATAGAAAGCAAGACGATATCTCATCTCTTCAATAGTTGTTAATAGGAAAATAGCATTCTAATGGGAGAGAGAGAAAAAACGCCTCGTGTTTATGAACCAGAGGAAACTATTATTCCATATATTCCACAGTTGTCCGCCATTATCTGCAGAAGGTGGTTAAATTGTTCGCTACAGTCTTTACTACCATAATTACCCTTGCTGCAGCCTCCTCAAGGGTTAAGGTACCCTTGCTGTGCAGTTCCTTTTGGCTCCTGAGCCCCAAGGGCAGAGATGGGTGAAAGCATTGTTCCAGGTTTCACCTGGCATCGCACCTGGCTTATCAGCCTGGGGCCAAACCCTGGTTTCCTAACAGGGACCTCAACTCAAATCCAAGTCTCCTTATCATTTTTAAAAGTGCTACCCTAATTTCCAAGCATCCTGTATTGGCTGTGCTTTAAACCCGGGTGTGTTTGCACAACTGTAGGTTAAGATGATTTTATAACAGTACATTTCAATTTCTGATAATGAAAATCACTTGCAGTCTGATGCTCCTTGAGGTCCAGGCAAACATGTCTGTTATACCATTACACAATACTCCCGAGAACATTGTTTTCCTCTGGTTCATAAGAGTTGTAACAGGGCCATTAGTCCTTTTACCACTTCTCAGTGTGGTTTCAAAACCAGCTAACAAATTTCCTGGTGGCAAATCTTTCTTCTCCTACTTGCACTTACTGCTCTTCTAAAGAACAGCTGCGAATAAATGTAAAATGTATGGTTAACCTTTACCTTACTTGATATTTGCAGCGCTGCTAGGATATTGCGGCACCAAGTACTGGTATTTTTCCACCATATATGTTCTTTTCTCTGGAAAAGAACAGAGGAATAACATAATTATTCTTCTTTAAATTTAGCTTAAAAATTTAAAAAAATATTAAATAAAGGAGTACTGGTCACAACTTATTAAAGATAAGGTAGCCCTGCTAGCCTGTGTCACATCCTGGCAGTTACTGTGTTCACATAAGGTTGAATTTGAACTCGATTTTCCCAAGAACCATGGGGTTTGTTTTTTTTAAACAAACTTCTACAAAAATCAGGAAGCCAAGGAAAAATACTTATTTGCTGTAATCAAAGTTCAATTTCTTTACATGTGGTAGGGATTGATGGGGGTGGGGAAGAGGTTTTTAAGTGCTCAAAATTGTTAATAGTATTTCTAAGCTAAGCTAAACCACTTAATTAAATTATACAGTTATAAAAGAGGATATCGCTCTAGACCAGAGAGAATTCTCTCTGAAATCAATATCCATCATTTCGATGGCCAGACAAAATTCTTACCATTAAACACACTGTAACAACAATTGTATTAAATTTCTCTTATGCGATACACAATCTATTTGCTTCAGAAGTGTGAGAATTTTTGTGACATTTTAACTTGTACTAAGACTTTAATTCTCAAAATCTGCTTTTATAGCATTTGAGAAGCGGATAGGTTATTTTCTGAATTAAAGATCTTACTGTTAGATTGCTTTTCTGTAGCATATTATTATAAATTAAATTAAGAAAAAAAGACTAACCTGGATTTTTCCTGGTCTGGTCATTATGCACCAGGGATTATTTTTGCGCATTGTATTTTTAAGGAAAGAGTTAATCATAATTATTTATCCTATGATAACAGAACAGGTAAACAATTTATTCTGTTTCTTCTTGTGCTTGACCTCTCTGTCTATTAAAAAAAAAAAAAAAAATCTGTTAATACTTAAATGCAGAATGTGGATTTTTCACAAAAAATAGACTGAAATGTTTATAAGAGTTTTAAGCAGCATTTGAGTGTTTGTTTAAATTTGATAGGGTTATACACACACAAAAAAGCCATCTAAAAGAACAAAATAATGATTTCTGGACATGGTGGTGCTGGATTAATGGTTGGACTTGATGATCTTGAAGGTCCTTTCCAACCTAGTGATTCTGTGATTCTCTGTTCCTCTGTGGAACTGCAAAGAATAATCAAGTAACATTCTACTGAGTGTGTACCTTCACCAGGATTTTAATTGCAACATATGAATCCCATGAGATACAAATGCACTCCAAGCCTGTCTGTAGAACATTGCTTTTATTAGGGAATTTTATTTCTTCTACATATGATGGTTGGTTGACACTGGACTCTCTTCTTTTTCTCTGAAGTTCATCAGAGTTAGGAGATAAAAGTCCATGCAAAGGAATGTGGACACAGGTGAGGTTTTTTTATATAAGGTAGTCAGGAAACTGTCAGACATCCTCTCAATATCTTCAGTTTTCTATATGAGGAACAGTCAACACTTCGGACACAGAACAAGGGCTGCTTCAGAATGGTATAAGGGGGAGACTAGAGCATAGCAAGACAAGAGTAGGGTATGATGTTATATGGAGATATTTTATGAAAACAACTGAGGAGTTTACTTCAATTTCCTGAAATGTTACATATCTCAATGTGAACCATAGCGGGGAAAGTGCTGCCTAGTAGTTCTTTGACTGGATCTGAGGAGTTTTTCTTTTAAGCAGCATACGTGTGTTTGATTTGTGGTTATTTTTCTAATAGTAATGGTTTAAGCAGAAAGAAGTTGGACTCTGAGACCTAGCTTAGGTGTTTTGCTTATTGATATATAACATTTTTTCAGTCAAAAGCTAATTTTTAATCTTATGGTTTTTAACCAGATAAAAAGCACCCAAGCGTCTTGAAGTCTAAATCTGTTAAAGATATGGGATATATTGTGTTAAGCCATTTGTAAGATTTTACACATTAAGGATTTTAACAAGAGGCTTGTACAGTCATTTTGTGGTGGAAATAAGTAGTTGAATAACTCGAGGAATAGGATACACCAAACCTCGCTGGAGATCTATAGAATCATTTAGGTTGGAAAAGACCTTTAAGATCATGAAGTGCAACTGTTAACCTAGCACTACCACGTCCACCAGGAAACGAAGATCTACACATCTTTTAAATACTTCCAGGGATGGTGATTCCCACCACCTCCCTGGGCAGCCTGTTCCAATGCCTGACCACCCTCTCGGTGAAGAAGTTTTGTCTAATATCCAATCTAAACCTCCCCTGGCGCAGCCTGAGGCCATTTCCTCTCGTCCTATCACTAGTTGCTTGGGAGAAGAGGCCAACAAACACCCTCGTCGCCACAACCCCCTTTCAGGTAGTTGTAGAGAGCGATAAGGTCTCCCCTCAGCCTCCTCTTCTCCAGACTGAACAACCCCAGTTCCCTCAGCCGCTCCTCATAAGACTTGTGCTCCAGACCCCTCACCAGCTTCATTGCCCTTCTCTGGACACGCTCCAGCACCTCAATGCCCTTCTTGTAGTGAGGGGCCCAAAACTGAACACAGGATTCGAGGTGCGGCCTCACCAGTGCCGAGTACAGGGGCACAATCACTGCCCTGCTCCTGCTGGCCACACTATTGCTGATACAGGCCAGGACGCTGTTGGCCTTCTTGGCCACCTGGGCACACTGCCGGCTCATGTTCAGCCAGATGTCAGCCAGCACCCCCAGGTCCTTTTCTGCTGGGCAGCTTTCCAGCCACTCCTCCCCAAGCCTGTAGCGTTGCATGGGGTTGTTGTGGCCGAAGTGCAGGACTGCTGGCATTTAGCCTTGTTGAACCTCATAGGGCTGGCCTTGGCCCATCGATCCAGCCTCTCCCAATCCCTCTGTAGAGCTGTAGGCAATGCTGGACGCAAATCCTCTGCAGCCAAAAGCATCCCCTCATCTCCTGCCTCTGAAGATGCTAAAGCTTTCCTACTTGACATGACCATGTGAATTGATCCCATCTCTTCCTCAATGCAGGCTAGGCCCAAGGGAAAACATGGCCCAGAGTCCAGTCCAGGTTCCTATGGGGTCCCTGCACAAAGTCAAATGTGGGGGAGGAGGAGAAAGTGAAGTAAAAGTGTTTATGTATATATTTTAACTCCAGTGGTACCTTTTTTCCCCCTCAGGTGGTGTGAAAATGACAATGGACGAACCCAGGACTTCCTCACTATACGGTAAGTGTGTGAATTTGCTACTCGTGGTACTTTATTGAGCTCCCACTGCTCACCAGCTACCCAAACTGAGTAGTGGTGAAAATAGCTTGTGCAAAGACACTTCTTGATACTAGCTGATTTGAGTCCTGGTCTGATTGTGTGGCTGCTTGGCATTGGCAGCAGCAGAGAAATAGTTAGTGTTTGAACTTCCAATCTTACCTGCTCCCCCAAAATAGTACGTGGTTGTTCAGTGCTTTGGGAGAAGACAAGTGGCCTTCTACCACTGCAGTGGTCATAGTTTTATGGAAGAGTGTGATGTTTTAGCGACAAAATGCAGTCTTCAGTATTTTATACACATATTTCTATGTCTAGATGGCTCTAATGCAATGTTTATCTTAATGTTTTATAGAGAGTGGCTTCTGAAACTAAGAAAATTAATTGTATGTGGTACTGTTAGTATCTGTATAAAACAAAAGTTGAATATGGATGCTGAATGAATCAGTGCATGCTTCAATATGACACAATAAAAGCCCTATAATTCAACAAGATGTACAAAACCTGAGGCCATAATTGCTCCAGTGAAGTCAACCTCGGTGCTTCCTTTTTACGGCAGAAACTATTAAATATTTGGAAATGCTTCCACTGTGAAGCCATGGGCAATATTTAACTTCAGACTTTTCCAATATCTCAAGTTAAACCTTGGAATTTTCCCCTAATCTTCACAAAGGCACAGTACACAGAGACAGGCTGCCATGAAAAATGAATTCTGAGCTATTCCCAACCCTCCAAAGAGATAAACACAGCAGATTAGGCACATTTTAATTAAGTTAATCACATACTACATTTGGCATTGTCTTAAGGATAAAAAATACCATAATATGATTAATTTTAGATTTTCTGATGTAGAATAATTGCAGAAATTGCATAAACCTGAGACATGGGATACTTCATTGTCACCATACTCTGAGGTGGCTGAAAGGTCATTCTTTAAAATTCACAGATGGTAAGGCGATACAGGTTGCATTTCTTGTCATTCCATCTCCCATCAGTGTACATTTCTACACATTTTTCTGTCCCTTTGCCATTAGGCTCGTATTGGTACCACTTGGTATAATTCAGAGGTGTGCCATTTATATACTTAAACTGACCTGAAGTCTCACCCTCTTTAATGCCTAAGTAAGCATATCGGTTATACTGTTTCACGATACTCAAAACAGCTTTGTTCTCCTCCTCATTCGTGGGAGTTGCAAGAGTTCCTCCAGCCTCTTCACAGGATTTTAGCGCAGATGCAAAATCAACTTCCTTCCCATTGCTGGCAAGTATTTTCTCTCCTACTTCTCTTATTTTCCCATTCAAAGTAAGCACTAAAACATAAAAAGAAAAAACCTAGTTAGTGGGGTTTTTTTAGTTTCCTATGGCATAATGATGAGAAAGCAAAGAAAGAGAAGTCAAGAGATGAAGAGAAAATTAAAAGGGGTAGAGGAACAGAGGGCAAGAATGAGATTAAAGGATGAAGAGGAATAAAGATCTTCAAAATTTTGCCAATTCACTAGTTGTTCACTAAGCATATTGTTATGCTGCTTGTGACTGTCTGTCATTGTCTTCTGCAAGACAAGGATGCCCCACTACCATTTGCTACATACGCTATCAGCCCTATTCCATTGTGCGTACTCTCTAAAGAGGACCAATTTGCTTCAAATTTGAGCAAGTGAAACAGAGAAATGATAATTTTTGTGAATTCCTTCTCAGTACAAAACAATTTACCACCTCTAGCAATCTGGTTGCTCATAGATAAAAATGCTAGCAATGTGGTACAAGGCTGAGGAGTTCCCATGAAACCCTGTGGAAGGTACAACACATTATTTTGCATATGGAATGGAAAGTTGGAATATTTTTCTTAATAAATCAAATCTGAATTAGTGCTCATTAGTGTTCCTGAGAGAAATCTGATTCTCCAGGGAAAACGAGTCCTGATCACCCCTGCTTTGGATGAGAAAATGGAGTCCCTTTTCAAGTGTGATTTGTTTCTTGCAAGTCATGAGTATATAATTAATTTTGCCTATTGCATTTAAAACTAATTGCGAGCCGAAAAAGGAAAAGTGGGAAAAATTACCGCCTTCAAGTCTGGAAAGTCGGTGTTTCAAATTCACTAAAACATTGAGGAGTTCTGTGTCCAGAGAATCAGGTAGACCTACACAGATAAAAAAAAAAAGTTAGACAATCAAGCAAATCTAGAGACTGCTGATAGGAACAATTCCTTGAATAAAACTAATAATTTTCCAAAACTAACTAGCACACAATGTATCTTTTAACATCATCTGGCATAAAATAAATACTTTGTTTGCTTTAACATAGGTTAACAACAGTGGGAAAAATACCGGCAAACAGAAACCTCTAACCCTCTGAAATGCTGGTAATTCCCCCCTGCACAGAAGAAAATGCATTTTTCTTGCTTGAAGCCCTATGTTTGTCTTGTCTGCGAAAGTGGCTTTGCCAAAGAGAATTTGTTTCATTCTAATAATTGTTAGTGAACAGGCACAAGGGAGATTTTGTGGAGGGAACAGTTCCTATGGCACCACACCATTTTCTTTTTAATCTGCTGGGTGGATGCTTTCTTTTTTTACAGTGGGCTCTTGTTTTAATAGGCACCATAAACGTTGGTATGGGAGGGTTTCTGCATAGATTGTGTGAAATACAGTCCATCCAGCACTGCTTGCTAAAGATGAGCATTCACTGTAAAGGTAGATAATTTTTACATACAAATTTCCACGGGTAACAAAGGTCCTACATGCAGAATACAGTTACTAGTGTGCTCCCGTGATGACATTCCCATTATTCACAACTAAAACAAATGGCCCTGTAGAAGCACAAACTATTGCTGCACCTCCCTCTCTCCGAGTTGCAACACTTACTGCACTTCACAGCCAGTAAAAACCAAGATATTTGACCCAATAAAGAGAGCCCATTTGACTGACAGAACATTACAAGACATCAGCCTTTTTCACATGGTGGTCCAATATCCCCTTTTTCTTTTTTCTCACCTTGCAGCTGAGGAAGACCACCTCTCCCAGGAGGCCCCATCAGGCTTCCAGGGGGTCCTATGAGACCTGGAAAAAAGAAACATAATTTTCTTTCCAATTGATGCATATTTTGGGAACTTTTCAAAGGATGAAATAGGACTTAATCTCAAACTGAAAACTGTTACATCTATGAATAATTTTGATAGTGCTTTAGCCTTGATAATGGACCTGGAGAAAGTGTTTCTACATAGAAAGAAAATTACACAGTGCAAAGCGTGATCCTTACCAGGCTACTTTTGCACATACCATCTTTGAGTACTAGAGAAACATTCCAGAAGCCTTTTATTTTTTCCTGTAAATACTGGAACAACATTTTCTTCACACTTAATAAGAAAAAAAAAAAGCTTCTGCTGTGAAAGAAGAAATTCCCTTTGGAAAGTCAACAGCAGTTGACAAAGATATATATGTATTAATTTATATTATATTTATATGTTTAAGTATTTATAATCTGTTCATTTCCCCTCTTCTCCCAGAAGAGAGAGGAAGCCTATCTTTTTAGAAAAAAAATATTAAACCGACCATTTTCTCCATTCAGTTTTCCCTCACCTGCTTAACGCAGCTGCTTCCTTGAGGGCACACATCCTTCCATGTTAACTGTTTTTATTCACGCAGCCTTCATGACAAGGACTGGTTGCAAAAAAGGGGAGTTTACTTACCTGGTAGACGTGGCTGTCCTTTCAGACCATCTCTTCCAGGCAGCCCAGGGATACCAGGCAGCCCAGGGATTCCCGGACATTTACGCAGCGCATGGCAAGTCGCTAGCAAAGCAGCTACTGCTGCGAGCATGTAGGACGAGTAAGGCAACATGATTGCTCAGGCCAGCTGGAAGAAACCCCACATATTTGTCAGGCAATGATTCTAAGAAATTGTAGGCATTGGCTTATATAACTGAATGCTTTTTTCTGCACCACCCCCCATGTCTTCTTGAAATTTTCATTCTTTCCTTGCCTAAAGTCTGTAGTTTAGGTATTAGAGATTTCCCAGATTTGCTTTGCTACCATTGCGTAGCTTATACACAAAACTGCTTCTAGATAGACCGATACAGGTTGCTATGCTCACTACAGAATGACAGCTACACATTTGGGAGTAGTGAAGACAAATTATCCTTTTTGCTACCACTGACTTTGTTGGATTAATCCTCGAGAAAGGATGGGCTCAGATGTAACTGATCACGCTTAAGCCATTAGCTGTCTGTAAGGGCTCTAATCACTCAGTGAAACATAGATGCATACGCTACCAACCTGAAAGGCACAACCTGTTACAGCGGTGGTTGTAATGGTTTGGAGCTAGTTAGCGACCTCTTTAAGCACAGTACTATTTAAGCACATTTATTTGAAACAAGCAGACTGATAGAGTGTTTTACACACGGGCAAAATTTTATAGCTCAATTGACATTCCTATCTTGTTTTGAACAAAATTCCACAAGCTTGAAAATGTCAGAGTCAGTCTTGTAGAAAATGCATTTTTGCTGGTTAGCAATAGGCCTATTCATCTTATTTTATCCTTTCAGATATAACATTAAGAGGGTTCTATTCTCAGTGCCAAGATATCATAACTAGCACTCTGAAAGCACTCTGAAACTATAGATCATGGGTTTACAATGCAGCTAGTGGGTATGCAGCATTGGTAACACCGTGTGGTTATAAAACCGGAACAGATGGACTATAAGACACCATGGCATGGAGATACCCAGTTATTGGCATAACTCAGTTAAAATAATAAGAGATTTAAAGAAAGGTTCAAGATGCCAGAATGGGTATCCCTTTCTAATGAGATGACCCTGATGGTCTGACTCTCATACAAAACCTATAACTTAATATCCATGACTTCACTACTTCTGGCACAAATTAGAGAGGATCATGTACTACATGCTCTTGAAGACGTCCATCCTTAAAATTCAGAATTGACAGGAACATTTTAATTGACACATAATATGTTCCAAATCCAGCTCCACTTCATGTTGAGAATAAAAATTGCTGCAAGATTATTAACACCTGGTTTCATCCGTTAAGGTATTTGCTTCAAAGCATATATGCCAAGCAGAATCAAAATACCAGTTTATTCTTACTACCGCTAATTGAATGGATACACTAAATCTTGACTGAGTTTTTAAAAAAAAGTACTGTTTACATCTTCCAGCCTGACTGTATTGTAGAAGGCTTTTGACACTATTCTAAATCTGCACCAATACCAACTATTCTTAAGGGCAAAGTTCACATGTTTTTCTAAAGGAACATCTCATAAAAATCAATTCAGTGTGGACGTACCCTTTAACATAAGAGTATTCAATTATGTCATAAATTTTGGTGTTTCGCTGCATACAGAATCTGTTTAAGTAATAGCATGTCTATTCCTCACCGTCAAGAATTTCAACTTTAACGAGTGGAAATTTCAAGTCCACTTGAGAACACACACGCTGTATTAAAAGTGCTGTTGAGTTTTGTGTATTGAATCTGAAGTGTCTCAAGTTGTTTACCCTTTACTATGCTGAAGGCTAGCAGACACCTCTGACAATGCTGGCCAATGACTCAGAGAGTGGATTATGAAAGTCTCTAACAGAAACCTACCTTAGGTGGCTAGGAATACTTACGTCCCTGAGATAAGGAAATGCAATTACCACAGGTACACTTCGTCTGGTGCTGATCGTTCAGGGAATTGCACTTGAATGGACTACTGCATCCAGCTCATAACTGGATTATGATGCAGAGTCAGAGTCCTGATCAGTTATATAGCAAAATGGAAAAAACAGCTCTTGAGTTTTAATGACCTTCATCAGTCATTACGATCTGGTGTCCTTCAGGCATCTCCTCATCTACTAAAATTGCTAATACAAGCAAAGTAAAATAAGACGACTAATAAAGAAAAATATAATTTTAAAATTTAAATATTACCACGGAAATGAAAAGGAACAGGTTTGCCTTCTAGCTGACGTTCCTTGTGATTTATTAAACAGAAATTCAACTTACCCTTCTGCTTCCAAGTGAGATGAAAGAGCAGTTCGTACAAGTCCCCTTTATGTAGTGTCGTGTTTGTTAAATGACACCGCTGAAGTGGAGACTGGATAATGAGGCCACGAATGAGCTTTTTTAGTTTAGCTTACACACTTGTTATGCAAATGCTGAGAACAATTTTAAGGGTTGAAATTTTCTTTTATAAGAATAGAACGCCAAAGTTGGAGAAGAAACAATCTAGAACTAACAGATAACTCCAGGTTTGTAGACACATACAAAATGTATAAAAATTTAAAGAGACTTTTGGTGATATTGTAACGATTTTTTCTTGTTTTAAAAAAAAGAAAAAATGGCACATGACCACCAGTGGCTTTTGTAGAAGGAAAGGTGCTCTTGTTAATTAGAGAAGCACATTACTGTCCAGATAGAGTCTGACCTGATAATCAGAATTCTAAATGTTGCTTCTCATCTCTGTATCTGATGTACTTACCTTACCTTAATATCATTTTCTAGCTGTATGTATGCTCAATGTTCCTGTGAGCATCTGGTTTCTTTTGCATGTAGAGTACAGCTGATCCTCACTTGGTCTGAGACTGATCCTGGAGAAATCTGTATACATGCTCAAAATCCTCAAATGGACAACATTTTCAAGTGAAAAACAAGCCAGAGGCTTTGATCCTCTGGTTTCCCAGCAATAAATATTGGGATCTCGTGAGTAACTTCCTTCTGATTGTGATGCCTTCTACTGTAAGGACATTTATGTTTGATCCTAGCTGAGGTTTCTTTTATGAACCTCAGCAAGCCAAACACACACATCAGTCCCTCACCTATAAGATAGAAATACCTCCGATAGGTAGCTTTTCTCTGTTTTGCCCATTTACCCTGTGGTCTCTTTAAGGATAGAGATACTTTTCATTTGCATTGTACTAAAAGTACTTAAGTTTTGTCATGATCCCTGACTATAATGTCCTTCTACCAGCAGAACTCACAGCTGCAAGCTAACATCTTTAGGCTCCTTGTTCATCAGATAGAGATGTCTAATATCAACTTGCTAACTTAGGTAAGAGAAAATACCAAAGGAGGAGATATATTTAGGATCCCCTTGGGAAGAAACTTAGTCACTGAAATCCCCTTCCATTCACAACTGTGAGCCTCATCCTACAGTTAAAAATGCCCAGCACAGTCTGTCCTCCTTCACAAAAAACACCCGCGCAGAACAAACAACAAAAGCAAACTGAGCAGATATCAGTGTCCCTTTTAGCAAATAATCAAATAACACTCACACATGTATGTTATAAACAATCTGTCTTCAACTCCTTCCTCTACCTGATATGCAGCAAAGTTTGAATGCAGGTTAGTCATTTTACAAAACCTCTAATCCCACCAGTTGAAGCTATTTCCTTCCGTAGTCCAAATGAGGTGGATGAAAAGAAGTGGCGTTAAGCATAGAAGATGCGGACTAGCTAGTACCCAGGAGGTAAAACACCTTGTTTCTGAACCCTTCTGCGGTTTGGGAATAGCACAGGTAGGTAATTCAGGACATGGGTAGTTCTGTTTCTGAATGGCAGCAGACCTCTGGGGTACCTGCAGCTCTAAGAAATTTCTGCAAGATAAGATGATGGAACTTAATGGATCCAGATTTTGGGAAATAGTATTTTAAATTATTAGGTGCCCAAGTTCTTGGGAATCTAACTAACTTGTCAGAACACAGTCTCATATAGATCCAGTTTCTAGGCAACTCTGCAACAGTTGTAATGGTTAGTAGTGTTCTGTGGTATCGCTGCCCTTACACATTCTCCCCACGCATATAACATGCAACTTTAATACATGAACAACATGATAAGTCTTTGCAGATTTGTATTATTTCTTCCACATAACAGAGTTTATACTTTACTTTACTTACTTAAAAAAAAATTGGAAACATTAACCAGGGCGGTCAGTAAAGCCCCACCAGCTACCCACTATCTCTGTCCATTCAGGAAAGTGTGGCATGATCAAAGCAAGGCTTAAGAGGTAGAAAAACTTTAAAAATTACTGTAATCTAAATACAGACCAAAACTTTGAAGGGAACATACCTTTGATGACAATTCTTCTTCCATGAGTCAGATTATACTCACATGATGGAAACTGATAAGAAATCTAAAACATAATCCAACATGAGAGATTACTTAGTCATTAGATTTCCTTCCCTTACCTATGTGGCAGAGAATTAGGGAAAACAAATATACTGGAATAAGGAAGAAAGAAAGTAAATATTTTCGCTGCAACCTGGCACCTTTCTAGAATAGCTACGAGGCTCGGTATTCTGAAGTTTACAGGTAAACCTGTGTGGTAATGGCTGAAGATCTTTATAGAGTTCCCTGGCTGGGTTTTGTGGGTGTTACCCAGATAATGGTTTCAGTGGGCCCCAGATACTTCATCCTTCTTTCTGTCATTAAGTAGAAGAGTAAGATTCGTTTTGATGTCCCCTATTGCATTAAATATGCTGTGCTGTTAATGCCAGCAAATTAAACCCAAACCCCGCAACGGCCTGCTCAACTGTTAGCAAAGGAGAACTTGGGGAAAAAAGAGGAGTCTGATTTTCAAAGATGCCGTATACCCAGAAAGACTGCTTCTTTATGTAGCAGTAGCAGCTGTGCACGTTACCCTGAAAAAAGTAATTTGAAAGCTAACAAACAACTGCAAAGGTGGTTTCAAAACCAGAACCAATTTTATATAGCCTTCAAACCTCTGATTTTCAGAAAACAAGGTGAACTCTCCCTTCTCGCAGCACACTGTTTTAAAATGAGCTGATTAATAACAACCTTATCACAGCCCAATCTGCATTAAGCTATGCTGCACTCTTTCATGTAAAAT